TTTACCAGTATGATCCAGAGGTCAAGTCCAATCAAAACAATTCACTTTCAAGGGAATCTACTAGACCAGTTAAATCCAAAGCAGAGAGGTTATAGAAACTGATTTTGGGGATCCTCAAGGGACAATCTGAATAGATTTTCTCAAAGGACACAGGACAAAACAGGGGCTAATTAAGAAGAAGTTTTCAAGAAAATTGAAAAATGCTTTGGTGAGAAAAACTCCAGAAAGATCTGTCAAAGAATTTTTTTCCATCATGACAATGCACACTCTCATTCTTCAAGAATAGCAAGGGCTGTCTTATGAGAATTCCATTGGGAAACCTTACCCCATCTACCCTACAGTCCTGGTTTTATCCCTCCAGACACCTGTTTGTTACCCAAACACATAGAACATTTGAAAGAAACATGATTTGAGTCCCTCGAGGATACCAAAAGTCATTTTGATATGGTATAAATGGAAGAGTGCAGAATGCTTCGGGAATGGGTTAGAGAGACAGCAAAACTGCCTTAAAGAGTATACAGACCTTGATTGGGGACATGTTAAGATGCTTCATATTTTTATATTTGTGCTAAATTGTTGTTGTTGTTGTTGTTATCAGGTGCCACCGAGTTAGTACCAATTAATAATTACCCTACACAAAACAGAACTAAACACAGCCCAGTTACATGCCAACTTCATAATCGTTGTATGTCTGAGCCCATTACTGATGCCACTGTGCCAATCCATCTCAATGGGGGTCTTCCACTTTTTCCCCAACTCTCCACTTTACCAAACATCCTTCCTTCTGATAATATGTCCAAGTTATGAGAGTCTGGCAATCCTGGCTTCCAAGGAACATTCTGGCTGTACTTTGTCTAACACAGATTTGTTTGTTCTTTTGGCAGTCGATGGTACTTTCAATATTCTCCTCCAACACCATTACTCAGATGCCTCAATTATTCTATGATTGATGAATATGAGGTTATTGAAAATATCATAGCTTGGATCAGGAGTGCCATAGTCCTCAAACTGACATCTTTGCTCGTGAACATTTTTAAAGAGGTTTTGTACAGCAAATTTGCCTTCAATGCACCTTGGACTTGTTCCTTTAGTATCATTGGCTCTTGATCATATGCTACCTCTTAAAATGGTTGAACATCAACAATTCATTTTTGGTACAGTGACTGTATATTCCTTCATCTGCTTTTGATGCTTTTTGCATCATTCAATATATTGCTCATAGAATCCTTCAACATTACAAGTCAAAGCTTGAATTTTTTCTTCAGTTCCCTCAACTTTAGAAGGGTTGAGTTGAGTGTGTTCATCTCTTTTGTTTTTCTAACTCCAGGTCTTTGCACATTTCGTTATAAGATTTGACTTTGTTTTCTTGAGCTCCATTTAAATTTTTTCTATTCTGCTCTTTTACCTCACCATTGCTTCCATTTGCTTTAGCATCTCTATGCTGGAGAGCAAGTTTCAGAGTATTTTCTGACTTCTCCTGTGGTCTTTTCTTTCTTTTTTGTCTTTTTAGTGACCTTTGCTTTCTTCTTATATGATGTTCTTGATGTCGTCCCACAACTCTTCTGATCTTCGGTCTTTAGTGTCTAATGCACCAAATCTGTTCATCAGATGAACTCTATATTCAGATGGGATATTTTCAAGCTCATATTTTGGCTCTTGTGGACTTGTTTTAATTTTCTTCAGCTTCAACCTAAACTTACATATGAGCAAATAATGTTTGATTCCACAGTCAACCCCTGACCTTGTTTTGACTGATGATATGGAGCTTTTCCACCATTTCTTTCCACAGATGGAGTCAGTTTGATTTCTTTGTATTCCATCTGGTGAGGTCCATGTGTATAGTCATCTTTTATGTTGTTTATAAAAGGTATTTGCAATGAAGGAGTCATTGGTCTTGCAAAATTCTATCATGTGATCTCCAATATCGTTTCTATGGCAATCTTTTCCAACTACTGATCCTTCCTTTTTGTTTCCAACCTGTTCATTCCCATTGCCAGTAATTATCAATACATATTGATTGCATGTTTGATCAATTTCAGACTGAAGAAGCTGGTAGATTCTTTAATTTCATCACCACTGGCTTTAGTTGTTGTTGTGTAAATTTGAATAATAGTGGCATTAACTGGTCTTCTTCATAGGCGAATAGATATTATCCTACCACAGATATACTTCAAGACAGATATGTTCTTTTATATGATGAATGTAATGCCAATCTTCTCCAAACCGTGCGATTATCAGATTTGAAAATGGCCAATACCAGTCCATTTCAGTTCACTAATGTCTAGGATATCAATGTTTATGTGTCCCATTTCATTTTTAACAATTTCCAATTCTGCTAGATTCATATGTCATACATTCCATGTTTTGATTATTAATGGCTGTTTACAGCTGTCTGTCTTTATTTTGAGTTGTGCCCCATCAGCAAATGAAGGTACTGAAGGCTTTACACATTCATGTCATCACAGTCAACTCTTCTCCAGTATTGTATTTTGAGTGCCTTCCAACCTGAGGGACTCATCTTCTGGTACTATATCTGACAATATATGCCTGGTGTTCTTTATCATATTTCACTATTTAATATTCTGGTGCTGACAGTGTTTCACTGCTATTCATAAGGTTTTCTGCGACTAAATATTTGGAAGTAGTCCATCTCTCCTTCTTAGTTTGTTTTATTCTGGAATCTTTATGGAAACCTGTTCACTATGGGTGATCCTGTTGGTATTTGAAATACCAGTGGCATAGTTTCCAGTATCATAGCAACACATAAACCACCTACAGATGAGTGTTATATGTATATATATGTATACTTATGTATGCTGCTATATATATATGATATATTTTTTGTTTTGTGCTATTGAGTCGATTCTGACTTTTAATGTATATATAGTTGTATTTATATAGTTACAGACATAGATATACATACATATATCTTGTATCCTGGTATGGCACTACAGGATAAACACTGGACTGCTAATCTTAAGGTCAGTGGTTCAGACCCACCATTTTCCTTGGAAACCCTATACAGTGTTTTATGAGTTGGAACTGGCTTCACAGCACTTAATAACAACATGTATATATGTATATATCCCGGTGTGGCACTGCAGGATAATGCACTTGACTGCAAGGTCAGGTTGAAATGCAAGTTCAGCAGTTCAAAGCCCACCACTAATGTTGTTGTTGTTGCTAAGTGCTATCTCGAGTCAGTTCTTACTCATAGTGACCCTGTATAAGATTTCCAACTCAGTGGTAGGTTTGGTGATATATACATATATATTTGTTGTTAAGTGCTGTCAAGTCAATTCCAACCCATAGCCACCCTGTATAGGGTTTCCAAGGAGAAGATGGTGAGCTTGAACCACCTTGCAGTTCAAACGACTTTGCAGTCTGACACATTAGCCCAGAGTGCCACACCAGAACTCTCTCTCTCTCTCTCTATCAATGCTAATCACAAGGTTCAAACCCACCAGTTGCTCCATGGGAAAAAGATGAGGTTTTCTACTCTCATTAAGGTTTGCAGCTTTGTAAACCCTATACAGGGTCACTATGAGTTGAAGCTGATTCAGCAGCATCTAACACACACAGATACACACACATATTGCTGTTGTTAAGTGCCATCAAGTTGTTTCCTCCTCATAGAGACCCTGTATAGGGTTTCTGAGAGCAGCTAGTGAGTTTGCAATGCAAGGTCACAGTTCAAACTCACCAGTCGCTCCTGGGAAACACTATACTGTGCAATATATATATTGTTGTTGCTATTAAGTGCTTTTGAGTTGGTTCCAACTCATAGCGACCCTCTATAGGGTTTCTAAAGAGTGACTGGTGAGCTTGAACTGCTGACCCTGTGGTTCAAACAGAGCTTACAGTTCAGCGCATTAACTTGCAGTGCTATACCAGGACTTTCTTTCTCACTCTCTTATATATATAAATATAAATCCATTCTGGAGGCACTGTAGGATAACCACTGGTCTGCTAACCACAAAGTCAACAATTCAAACCCACCAGCCACTCCTGGGGAAAAAAAATAAGACTTTCTTCCCCCCATTGAAGATTTCCAGCCTTGGCAAACCTATACAGGGTTATTATAAGTTGGAATTGACTTGATGGCAATTACTTGATGTAAATATACCAAACCCACTGCCATATATACCAAACCCTAATGCAATGCATTAGGCAAATCTGCTGCACAAGACCTCTTTAAAGTGTTCAAGAGCAAAGATATCAGCTTGAGGACTAAGGTGTGCCTGACGCAAGCCATGGTATTTTCAATAACACCATATGGATGTGAAAGCTGGACAATGAATAAGGAAGACTATGGAAGAGTTGATGCTTTTGAACTATGGTGTTGGAGAGGAATATTAAAAGTACCATGGACTGCCAGAAGACAAACAAATCCGTGTTGGGAGAAGTACAGTCAGAATGCTCTTTAGAAGCCAGGATGGAAGACTTCGTCTCTCATATTTTGGGCATATTATCAGAAATAACAAGTCCCTGGAGAAGGATATTGTGTTTTGTAAGGTGGAGGGTCAGCAAAGAAGAGGGAGACCCTAATGAAATGGATTGGGACAGTGGCAGCAGCAATTGGTTTTAGCTTAACAACGACTGTGACAGGGTGGTACAGGACCGGGCAGTGTTTCACTCTGTTATTCATAAGATTGCTATGAGTCGGCACCTAACAGCAACAACATGGGCTCCTGGTGTGGTCCTATAGGAAAAGCACTGGCTGATGACCAGAAGGTTGACATTTCAAACCCACCAGCTACTCCTCAGAAACACTGTACAGTGTCGCTATGATTTGGAACCAACTTGACGGTACTTAATAACAACGATCTATGTCTCTGTGTTTTTAGAAAACCATGGATGAGATAGCTGGTAAAGGAGCTGGCATTTGATGTGAGGGTGGGTTTCAGACTGAGGTCCCAGAACTGGTGCTGATCTTGTTTCCTGTTGGATCTCCGAAGGTGTGGGTAGCAGATGTGAGGTAAGGAGTGGTGGTTTCTTACCAAAAAGGACTGGAAGAGCTGGAAGGAGCCAATAAGCCAGATATACAGGTGGGAGTACACTTTTGTGGAGGTGCCATTGAAGGTGTTGGCCACGGCCAGGAAGGAGTAGGGCCCCACAGTGAAGAACTCCCAGTCATAAGCACCAGAAGTAGCGATGGTCTGGTTGGCCTCAAAGAACTGGGTCGTCGGGTTCCACTTGTAGATGACACTGTTGATGTTGTGGTTGTCACCTGGAAGCAAGGTGCTACATTTACGGGCAGGAATAGGGTACACAGGAGACTCTCCTGTTGAGTTCCCTCCTCCTCTTCCAATTTTGTGATGCTTCTGCCACCGTGTGGTTAGGGAAGGGGCCAATCACCCCTACTATTATCCTATAACCCATTTTCCATTGCCAAATGCTGGCACAATTCCAAAACCCCACCTGCTGCCTCTGACTCTTTGCAGGTGCTGCTCCCTCAGAAAACCTAAGGGGCTCTACTACCTTACAGGTATCTATACCCTCCCATGGCCTTCCAGGGTTGGGAGACAGGGTCCTGCCTGCCTCCTACTTCATCCCACCATGTACTGGCACATACCTTTGTTCCCACTCCCCCTCACAGGCCGGCCTTTGCACATGCTGTTCTCTTTGCTTGGAAAGATTCTCCCTGTATGTGCTCCCTGAAAACTTCATGCTGAGCCCACCTCTGTGGGAGCACAGCACTCACTCCTGAAGAAGCACTGTTCAGTGGGTTCCTGGGCTTCCACTCTTACCCATGTGCACTTGGGGCCTGACAGTGGTCACAGACTCAGATTAATGCCCTGCCATGAAGACACAGATGTATGGGTCAGAAATGCCCTCTAAGACTGGCTGCCACTGCAGGTCTAGTCCAGGAAGGAAATAAGGTGCAGGGCCAGGGAGGATTAGGGTGGCCACTTGGGACAATGTCTCTCCAGAAACCGATTTCCCAAGTGTGGTGCTGCAGGATAATGCACAGGACCACAAGGTTGGTTTGAATCTCAAGATCAGCAGTTCAGAGCCACCAGTTGCTCCTTGGAAACCCCTTACAAGGGTGCTATGAGTCAGAACTTACACTGTGGCACTTAACAATAACCTGTGCCACAGATATGGCACAGGGCTTGTATTCAAACCCATGTACCATGGGTACCACATGCAGACAGACAGGCAGTGCTCTTCTCAAGGACACATGTCAGTTGGCAGTGTCTACATCTCTCCATTTTTCTAAAGCTGTGGACCCAGCACACCCCTCTATGCCAACAAACATCTTACCTTCTTCTCACTTGTTATCACCAGACTCCATTGAGGGGAGGGGCAGTTAGTTTGAAATAAGGAGGGCAGTGAGTGGACAATCTGTGCTGGGTTCTCCCATAGGTGAGCACTGTAAAGGACCTCAGGTAAGTTGGGAGTTGGACCTGTGGTCACCTGTGTTCACACTTTGACCCAACTGTGTCAGGTAGTACAAGTTGAGCCCAAGAAAACATACTAGATGTGATTCATTACTATTTATGAATGGGATAAAATTACTCCTGCACTTTGCTTGTGCCTTGTCCATGGGATGGTTCTCTTCCAGGTCAAAGGCTATGTATCCCTACCTTCACGGTGGTTGGCTACAGCCAGAAAGTGCTCTCCATTCACTTGGAAGGCCTCCCAGTCACGGGCACTATGGGTGGTGATCCTCTGGTATGCAGTGAACTTTAGTTTCCGGTGGCTCCATTTGTAAATGACAGAGAACTCTTGGCCTTTATCATTTGGTTCAAAATTAGCCACTGCCAGAAAGATCTGAAAAAAAATCCAACCACAACACTTGGTCCTTTGATCTGTGTGAGAAGCCTAGGGCAAGTGTATCTAAATACCATCATGTTAGTCCAGTGAGATAGGGCAGAGGCTGAGCCAGGGTCAAGTAGCATGTTTTTATATTTGAGAAAAAGGAGACATAGAGAGATCATTCTGAGGCTAAGGTTCCCTGGTAGTAACCACATCTTCATTATTGATGGATACAGGTGTGTAGGGTCGGGGCAGGACTGGTTCTCCAGATCTGTGAATTTCATGTATTAAATATCATTTTCTGTTGAGTTGGCCCTGGTTCATGGTGACTCCAAATGTGTCAGAGTAGAACTATGCTCCATAGGGTTTTCAATGGTTGATCTTTCCGAAGTAGATTGCAAAAAGTCTTTTTTCTGAGGTGCCCCTGAGGACTTGAACCACCAACCTTTCAGTTAGCAGCCAAGCTTGTTGATCATTTTCACCACTGTTGTCAAGACCTTCGAGTTAGTTCCGACTCACAACGACCTTGTATAGGGTTTCCAAGGAGCAGCTGGTGAGTTTGAACCACTGACCTTGTGATTCAAACCAACCCTGAGGTCCAGTGTTTATCCTACAGTGCCATACCAGGACCCCAAGACCCTTAAAAATGTCTGTATTCCTTAGCCCATTATTTATACTTTCACTTCTATCTGAAAGTTTAAAACAAAACAAAAAACTGCCTAATTTAGGAAAAGCTTTATGCTCAGAAATGTTTAATGTAACCAGAATTAGTAGGAAAAAAAAATCTCATGACCTGCTTTCCACCAGTAAGGATGTGGTTCACCATGCAATGTCCACATAGGAAGTGCTTTGAGATGTAAAGTTATCAGAAGGCAAAATTGCACAGGTCATGTGACTATAACATGACCTGTGTGAAGCCTGGTATGTAGTGTACCTATGATGTGCACAGTGACAAGTGTACCAAATATGAACTATGCATTTACTTAAGTAGTGGAACAAAACAATCTCTCCTTGCTTTTTCGAATTTCCCAATTTTTAATGGATGCATATTTATCCTTTTTATTTAGAAAGGAAAAAAAAAAAACAACTAGTCTTTCATTCACCACAAAGGGTTTGGAATATAGTAGGGAAGGTGGTAGCTGTAGGCTACAGGAGGGCAGAGGTTTTTGTCTGTTTTGTTCACTGATTTGTCCCCTGTGATGAAGTTGGGGCATGGCTGGACTCAGCACTTATTTGTGGGGTGAATTAATGAGTTGTAGGAAGGAGCTCTGGTAGCATAGTGGTTACGAATCGGCCAGCAGTTCGAAACTACCAGCTGTTCCGCGGGAGAAAGATGAAGCGTTTTGCTCCCATAAAGATTTACAGCCTCGGAAACCCTGTTACAGGGTCGCTATGAGTTGGAACCGACTCCACGGCACTTAACAACAACAACAACAACAGGACAACTCTGAGATGGTGCAGGATGATGGAGGACTGCTTTTGAAATCCAGTGGTAAAAAGGAATGGGGAGGAGAGATTCAGTCTTCCCTGTTATGATATCCATGGTCCCTGTGACCTCACTCCTTAGCACCCTTCTCAATCCAGTCCTCTACAGAAATAGAGTATGCTAATGAGGGTTACATATGCAGTCCTACTTAGACCAGTCCGCTACCATCTGCACTTGTACTATCCTCCATTTGACCTTTCCCATGATGTGCTCCCAAAGTATGTGGTGTGAGTAAAGGCAGAATCAGGAATGCAGATGTTCCCATTCTGAAATGATTTCTACATTTCTGACTTTGTGGATAAGTTTCTGGTCCAAGGAAAGTGATCTAAATCAGTCTTTAGTTTAGTAACAATGGGCGGAGATTTCTGGATGATGCAAATAGTTAATGTGCTCAATTGCCAACCGAAACATTTGAGATTCAAATTTACCCAGAGGTGCCTTAGAAGAAAGATCTGGTGATCCACTTCCCAAAACTCAGCCATTGAAAACCCCATGGAACACAGTTCAATTCTGACAATAGGGGGTCACCATGAATCAGAATTAACTTAACAGTAACTGGTCAATGGCCAGAAATAATGGGTATGAATAATACCACAGAATCGAACACTATCTCAGAATTGTCTTTACTTTCTCAAAATCACATTTTGGACTGCTAATATATATGACTTTGAATGCCTTTGATAACCCAAACAAGATTTTGAAACCCCATGAAGTCTACACAAGAAGCCCAAAACTTTGAAATCCTTGGGTTATTCCAAATTAAAAAGACTCAAGAATGCAAACTTGCCCTTTTTCCGATGGTGAAATGTCTCCAGGACTGCGCCTGGTGTGTGGGAATGGTCTGATAAGAAACAAACTTCCCATCGGTCCACTTGTAGATGGCAGAAGTGGTTTTCCGGTTGGCCGTTGCTACAAAGAGCCCCACCTCAGGGATGATGAAGACCTCGATGCCCAAGGTCTCTGAGTTCGTGAACAGGTTCTGATGCTCCTCCACATAGTCCAGTTTTTCTTTGGCTTATGAGAGAAAAATTGTGGCTTGGTTAACATTCCCCAAAAGCCTATCAATGAATCCTCTTTAGAACATAACCCCCAGGGGTCCTACCCATGACTTCTGAAGCATTAGCGTTAGTGTTGGGGTCTGTTTCACACTGTATAATAGGCCTTGTGCTTCCTTTGACTCTTATAAGCCAGTTATAGATGAGTTAACCCCAAATCATGATACCCTCATGTGTGTCAGAGTAGAACTGTGCTGCATAGCATTTTAGAAGCACCTTGCCAGTCTTTCTTTTAGGTGCCTCTGGGATTCTAACCCACAAGCTTTTCACTAGCAGCCAAGCATATTAATTGTTTGCTCTGCTCAAGGGCTCTTGGAGTGGACTCGATGGCATTTTTTTTTTTTTTTTAACCTTCATAGGCAAAGTCAGAGGAAGACTGCTTGATGCCGCCAAAAGTTTTATGATCTATAGAACTTCTGATGAGACTAATGAGATGAAATGTATATGTCACAGCCCTTTTAGAGGAATTTCCAAAACTTGTTGCTTCTATGAAGGGTCATGCTTTGGATTAACTGATAGAAAGTAGAGGCCAGCCCATGAACGTCCCAGCTGGGACCATTCCCACTTCTTGTGGACAACCATTGGGAACATTTACTACAAGCTTTACAGTCCTTCCCCATAAGTAGGAATGGAATTTTGAAATGTCTGGTTGCATAAATGGATGCTCTTAGGTCCTTGGTCTCATCACACCTTATTTATGACTTTGGACAGGAAAGGTGTGAGGAGAGCAGGCTGCTAGGCTTCCCCATGAGGGAAACACCCTGTGCACCCCACTTTTTCTATGCCACAGTTTGAAAGTGGTAAAGGAAGTCTAAAAGCCCCACCAGTCAGTCAGTCCATGGGTCATGACAAAGAGAGCAAATGTGTCTAAACTAAATGCACAGGTCCATCTACTATTCCGTGTGGGTCATTTTCCTCTTCCTTCAAGGAGGTCCACCTTGCTGAAGAACAAACACCCTGTTCTAGGAATGACATGCATCCTGGCTTGCCTGAGACAGTCCTGGTTGGCGTTTGCTTTCTAAATGTAATTACTGGCCATGTCCCCTTCTACTTTCAGAAAGATCCCAGCCTGAAAGACTCAGTATATGATCATCTAGAGATGGCCCAGGACTGTGTATGTTTCAGTAGCCCAGCTACTCCACCTTGCCATGCCAGACCTACAGAATAATGTGGAAAGTGTGGGTTAGGATGCTGTCGGGTGTCAGATCTCTAAACCTCAGGAGTCCCACAAGTCACAACCAAGACATGAACCCCATCTCACCTGCTAACACAGAGATCCACTTGCTGCCGACACAGAGGTACAGTCCCTTCCGGCCAGCATCGAACCAGAACTGAGCATCTTCCATTTGGGTACAACGGGGCTGTGGCCCCAATGTCACCTTCACATCAGTTTCTGAATGGGAGATCAAGAAGGTAAGAGCGCCCAGTGCATACATGCTCCTTGGAGAAAGACTGAGTGGCCATGTACACACAGCGTCCTGCCTTCATTTTTGCCAGAATTGAAGGGTTTCAACCCTTACATGTCACGGATGAGGAAAATGAGATGCACAGAGTTTAGCCACAGCTCTGGGCTGCCCTTGCATACAGGAAACCAGAACTAGCCGTAAATAGTCTAGACCAGCCCCAAGTGCTTCCACCTATAAATCTTACTTAGCTGGGACTTTCCAAACCCATATTCTCTGGAGACTTCCACATAACAAAGCCAAGAACCCTGCACCTATTACAAAGGAAAGAAAAGACACATGACCCAATCACAATCTTGCCCCAACTTTGAAAGTACCTGTATTTGCCTAAGTGACATCTTTCCAGAAACTGCCACTTATTCGCAGCTAGCTTCTTATTGTTGTTGTTGTGAAGAGTCATCAAGTTGGTTCTTACCCATAGTGACTCTGTTTAGGGTTTCCGAGAAGCAGCTGGTGAGCTTGAACCGCCAACTTTGCAGTTCAGACGGCTTTGCAGTCTGGCGCATTAACCCACAGTGTCACACCAGGACTCTCTAGCTTCTTATAAAAGGAGACAACTTTATTTCTCAAAAGGTACCCTAGTGGTGCAATGGTAAAGCACTCAGTCACTAATCAAAATATTGGCAATTTTAATGCACTCAGTTGCTCCAAAGGACAAAGACTTAATGATTTGCTTTTGTATGATTAACAGTCAAGATAGCCCTGTGGGACAGTTCTACCCTGTCACATGTGGGGTCCCTATGAGTCTGTCATTTTGTTGTACTGTGGTGGCTTGCATGTTGCTGTGATTCTGAAAGTTATGCTACCGGTATTTTAAATATCAGCAGGGTTGCCCATGGTAGACAGGTTTCAGCTGAGCTTCTAGATGAAGACAGACTAGAAAGAAGGAGAGATGGAATACTTCCAGATATCTAGTCATTAAAAACCATATGTATAGCTGTAGAACAATGTCAGCACCAGAATATTAAATATTGAAACATGATGAAGAGCACCAGAATATTGTCAACTATAGTGCTAGAAGATAAGCCCCTCAGGTTGGAAGGCACTTAAAATATGACTGGTGAAGAGCTGCCTCCTCAAAGTAGAGTTGACCCTAATGACACGAATGGAGTAAAACCTTCAGGACCTTCATTTGCTGATGGCGCATAACTCAAAATGAAGAGAAACAGTTTTAACATCCATTAAAAATCAGAACATGGAAATGTACAAAGTATGAATCTAGGAAAATTAGAAATTGTCAAATGAAATGGAACACATAAAAATCAATATCCAAGGCATTGCTGAGCTAAAATGGACTGTATTGGGCATTTTGTATCCGACAAGCACGTGATTTAGTATGCTGGGAATTGAGGAGGAAAGGCATGACAGTCATTATCCAGTATCAAGATCTGTCTTGAAGTATAACACTGTCTGTGATAGGATAATATCCATATGCCTACAAGGAAGACCAATTAATACCTTATTATTCAAATTATGCATCAGCCACTAAAGCAAGTGATGATGAAATTGAAGAATTCTACAAACTTCTTCAGTCTGAAATTGATCAAACATGCAATCAAGATGTGTTGATAATTAAAGGTGATTGAAATGCAAAAGTTGGAAACAAAGAGAAAAGATCAGTAGTTGGAAAATATGGCCTTGGTGATAGAAAAGATGCTGGAGTTTGCATGATAGATTTTGTAAGACCATTGACTTCTTCATTGCGAATAACTTTTTTAAACAACAGAAAAGATGATGATTATACAAATGGACCTCACCAGATGGAATGCACAGGAACCAAATTGACAACATCTGGGAGAAGAAACGATAGAGAAGCTCAATATCATCAGCCAAATCAAGGCCAGGGGCAAAACAAGGTCTGTGGAACAGACCATCAATTGCTCATATGCAAGTTCAGGCTGAAGCTGAAGAAAATTAAAACAAGTACATGAGAGATAAAATATGACTTTGAACACATCTCCTTAACACCCCCCCCCACACACACACTCATCTGAAGAATAGATTTGATGCATTAGACACTAAACCGAAGACCAGAAGAGTTGTGTGATGAAATCAAGAACATCATACAGATTGCCTACTATTGTAAAATAGACACTTGAGTGGGATAAAAAGGAATATTGGGAAGCATGATTACAGAAAGCTTGTAAGTTCATCTTCAGCCTATAACTGATTGGAATACCTAAAAGGGGTTCTACAACTTGCTCCGTAAAACAGACTTCTTGTTGAGTTCTTGTAGTGCATAGGACCTTAGGTGGAATCCTGAGCCCTATCCAGAACCTTTTGAGGTGAGGTATTTATACTTGAAAGGACATGCAGACCAGTCCAGAGTGGATAGAAGAACAGAAGATACTTCCTGAAAGAAGTACCAATAGGATAAAACAAAATCAAAACCCCAAACAGCAGCCTGCTTGGCTATCACAAGAACAAGCAAGCTGTTCACCAGGAGCAATCAAGTCCCTTCAGGACAACACCCCTCCCTTCCCCCCCCCGCCCCAAGACTGAAACTCAAAGGGAACACACGAGCAGGCATGTAAGCTCGCTGGTGACCACTTTGGTCTACTTGTGAGTGGAAGAGGGGGAAAAGCAGTAATGAAGATATGGGCTGAGTTTGATCACGTTCTGTGGACTTCTGTTGACCTCGAGATGAGAGAGAGAAGAAGGGCTGGTTGGCTCGAAGTCTGGGGAGACTTGAGAACTCCTGAGCCCATGGACATTGAACTAGCCACTGAGGGCTAGAGCTGAGAGTGAAGTATTCAGCTGATAAGAAGTGGTGGGAGACTCACAAGAAAGCCCAAACTTGCAGATAGAACCCATTTGACCTAGCTTTGATGGCTTGATGCCAAGAGCTTGACTAGAGGAAGATAAAGAAATTTGATAAAGTGCTACAATTTGATGAA